CGCAACCTCGAATGATTTTGTTTTAATCCCCTCATTTGTTCTACTCATTTTCTAGGAGGTGATATTTGTATGCCACGACAAATTCGACATCCTAATCGTTCACGCTTTTACAAATTCAGTTTTAGTGTTTGGCAGCGTCGGTCCAACATGCCGAATGAATCACGACATTGGCTATTGATTAAAATGCTACGCCAAGTAATATTTATAGTCTGTATTGCGCATTCTGTTTCGGCTGATGGGGACAAGACCAGTTTTCTAAGTAAACAGGCGCGCACGGAGATGCGACACACAATTTCCGAATACGCAAGGCAGCTAAAAAACACTTGCTTGGCTGGAATGCCGCCCATACAAGTGGCACGAAAGTTGAAGTTTTCTGAATACCTTTGGTGGTTTGATGATTTGACTAAGCGATGCCCCATGAACAAGTCAGCTTCCGGTGAAGATCTAGCACGGGAAGTTCTTCAGTCATTTGAGGATTTCAACAGAACTACGTTACACCCAAAGCTGCAATCGATAGAAGAAACAGCCAACAAAATAGGATCAAAACCTTCTGCGATGGCTTATCAAGACGGTCTGAATTGTGACGAGACACCTGAGGCGAACTCCTACAGCCGGAAACTCAAGGCATGTGCAAGGAGCTGCAGCGATTTACAGAGACAGGGAGGGTACCACGAGGATGGCGTCTACATGTTTACAGGGATGGATGTGCCTGTATATTGTGACTTCACCTACAATGGCGGCGGGTGGACTTTGCTATTGACCTCGGTGCACACAAGAGGCTGGCGCCTGGATACCATTCTCGAACGGAATACCAGCACTCCTTCACTGCATAGCGACTATTCCATATTAGGCTGGGGCGATGCTATCAAATCGCTGGGAAACGACGACAACTTTTTATTCCGCGTTGAGGCAGGTGCGGCAACTGGGCGCAACCAGTGGGGCGGAGTATGGTCAGCGCCCCGAAGATACTCTCTGACATCAGAAGAGGAGCAGACAGACATCGTCCTCGTCGAGAAGTTCAACGAGTGGAAATACGGTAGAGAGACCCTAGCGAAAATGGTACCTCGTATCAGTAGCGGGCATGGTAGTGGTCATCCTCTCCTAACTATGTCGCTTAAGATCCATCATCAGTACATGAGCGGTACACTTGTATCTTGCGATAACCGCGCTACTTTTCACGGCCAAAAACGCTGGATAAACAGGGGCTTGCTAGAGGCCGACGTTGTTTTGTATTGGATAAGAGAGTCCATGCCTGACCCTCTGAATTATCCTGTTAAGAGTTAGGAATTAACTCTTAATTTTATAAAAAATTAATTATATAATATTGTATAATTATTACATATATAATATATATGTATGGATATTTGTATATATATATATATATACATATATATATACATATATATACATTATATACATATATATACATATATATATAATATACAATATAATAAATACATATAATTTAAAAAAGGAATTAACTCTGAAAATAATAAAGAACAAAAACACCATAGGGAGAATTGTATTTGGCTAGCGTGCTAGCAACAAAACCACCGAGCCAAACCCCATCTAGAAATACATCAGTGAAGTACATCCTAGATGTTGTTTTGAAGGAGATGCCGTGGCTTTACGCATGGGAAAATCGTTTGAACTATCGCCCTCGCCTGGTGTGTTAGCATGTACGCAACATGTCAAGCAATTCATTCCCTAGCCATTGAAGTGTTGCTGTGAGAACCGAGCTGTGCTGTCATGTTTTTGCACTTTTGCATGTTCATATATTTGCTTCTTTGGGGCTGTCGGGCCTTGCGAGAAAAGTGGAGCTGCTGTGCCTTCCAAAGACAGTGAAGGTGATTGTACGGCACTACCTTGCTACCTAGCCGTCAAATATTTTTGCAACATACTGCGAACTTTCGCAACATTTTCCAACATCTTGTACGAGCGGTTGTGCGTTGGGAAACTGCTGTAAATGGCTCTAGTACGCTAATTTGCTTTATTTAGTCAAAAGCCGCCCTTGACACATTTTGCAGCCATGAGCAACAATTCTCAAAACTCTCTTTTAGAATCTCCTGTACCCTATAAAAGTCTTGGAGATGGTTCTAGGACACTGTCTTGCTTCGTTCCTCCATGCTCTATTCATTCAATGCAAGCGGTGTCCTCATACGTTTACGTTACCCGGCCCTCTTGCAAAGAAAACTGCACTCAGATGGTGATGATGATGATGATTTGGGCTTTTAGGGCGCATCGACTGCTGTAGGTCATGCAGCGCCCATAACTATCAATTTATGCAGAGCCGACAATCAGAAAAGTGCATAATTCAGGTCACCCTATAAAGCCTTGATAATCAGGCCTAGCATCATGATGAAAAGATTACTGGGAAATCTATAGCGCGAAGAAACTAGAGCAGTTTACCAAACTCGACGGCGTTCGAAGAATCCCCTAAAAAGTCACATAGCGTGCGACTCTGGACGTGGTGTCCGAAAAACTGCGCTCTCGTTGCAGTAAGGCGACGGCAAGCGACCAGTACGTGATGCACGGTCAGCGGGTCAGAGCATCAACTGCAGCATGGTCTGTCGCCAGCCAATAGCAGGTGACGGTGCGTAGCATATGTGTGACCTATGCGTAACCGGCAAAGAACAACTTCTTCCACCTTATTGTCCCGAAAGCACGACTGTTACAGTCCAATACGGGGTTTCAAGGACTGCAGCTTGTTGGCACTCAGCGAGTTCCAGTAGAATTGCCATAGCTTCTGCATAAACAACGACACTGCGGGGTACATGTCTTGAGATGGTAGTGGTGTTAGAGGAATTCTAGTCCCTGTCGTAGCGCGCTTTGCTGCCGCGTCAGCAAGATCATTTCCGCATATCCCCACGTGACTTGGAATCCAGCATAGAACGACCGTTTTTCCCGCTCGATCCAGTGAGCTAAGACGCGATTGAATGTCCTGGATGAGTGGATTCGACGGGGAGAAGCCGCCAACAGCCAGGAGGCTGCTCAGGGAGTTGGAAAGAATTAAATGCAAATTGCTATCGTCCACTTCAATAAAGCAGAGAGCTTTGCTGATGGCTATAAGCTCGGAGGCGGAGACCGACGCGTGTGAAGGCAGTGTGAATGACCTTGTTGTGGATCCACACACAAAAGCGCACCCTACACCTGCGTCCGTTTTTGAACCATCCGCATAAGTCTTCATGTACCCGTCAAAAGAAGCTATGTGTTCTAAGCCTGCCCCTTTAAGTTCCGTCATGATAACGCGTTGCTTTTGCATGTTTGATAGCGAAACATCCACTCTTGGTGATGCTAGCTCCCAAGGAGCAGTCTTCGTGGGTTTAGATCTGATGACACGTCGTAGGTTCAGGCCGCTCACGTCTAAAAGTTCTCTCATTCGTACACAAAAAGGGGAAGTTTGTGGAGACTGTTGACGTAGAAAAAAGCCTTCGTAAGCTACGCGAAAACACTGCTTTGTGGGTGGGATGATCTGGGGACTGCGTCAGCTTGCACGTGTAGCGAAACTGCACGTAGCGAAACTGCACTCGGAAATGTACTGCACTCCGTGCTCATTTCACAGCTATATACAAGTGTGAGGCTGGTCAGTTAGTTGTAAGAAACACAGGTACGTCACTGCTTAGCGTGGAGGCTGGTTTTTGGCTTCAACATTAGTTGGTTTTAGGGAAATCATAAATTCATTATCATCCGTCTCCCTCTACCCTTTGCTAGTTGCCATTCCTGCCACTGATTCTTACGAGTTAAGCACTTGTATCCTGTTCCATACATTTCTTCCCATTCTCACCGTCATTCATGATGCAGCCTTCCACGCCTTTCCTCCTATTCAATAATAGTCCTACAATATGCCCCACTAGCCCTCTCCAGTGGCACGCAAGTTCGGGAGGGGGGCGGGGGGGGGGGGGGTGAGAGTACAGAGTGGCGCGGAGGGCCTGACATGCCGCCAACGTGGGGATTTAGGAATTTTGAACGCACGTTTGCAATGCTAAGACACATTAGACATGTTTCACATCAGGCCTTCTGGTTCATTTGGGATAGTCTCATTTTGGTCCATTCGGGATTTACAAGGGGCAATGTAATTCGGGCGCATAGCAAAACGTTCTTTACGTCAATACAGGATGGCTCTGATCCTGAGTGTCGCCCAGGTAGCGTCCTTGCCTGTAAGGGGAGCCTGCCTTTCCCAATGCCAACCACTCAGGGATTTCCTGGCTGCGATGTTCAGAGGTGAAAAAGCCTACGCCTGTCTGCCACAAAATTGTAATTGTCTGAACCATTTCCGTAGCATGATTTATTGGCAAAAATGCCAGATCTTAAACGTGCAGTTGGTCGGATTCATATTCAAGTGCATAGTACCTATTATAACCTCCTGGGGAAGTAAATTTTACTTTCTCTTTGTCAGCAAGTGGGCCTTTATTCCATAAACAGAAGTGCTTTCAAAGATTTTCCTTGATTTATTCCACTGAAAAAGTGGGTGTGGCACACCCCTCCCCTTACCTCATATACACAAGGTTCCAATACTAGATTGATATTGTATGTTCTAGGTATCTATGTTGTACGAAAAATAACCCAATAAGCATTAATTGCATGAATTAAGATACTAAGTAACCACACAATGCTGTCCTCTGCCCAAGTTGGTTTCTGTTTTACCTCGCATATTCCAACATATCGTATGTTGAAAGATATGTGTTTGGGGATCGATCGTAGTGGAATATATATATATATATATATATATATATATATATATATATATAAGATATATTCCATCATGATTGATTACCAAATTTAGGCCGGCTGGCACACACCCAGAAAAGTTCCCAACGCTTGAAGTCCTGAAATTATCACTCTCAGTTAACTTCTTAGGGAAATTTCCAACGCGCCACGGCGCCACGCGCCGCTGGCGAGGGCCGAGGCTCCTCAGTCGAGCGCGCCGTCACCACCGCGGGCTGGGCGTCGCCAAGGGGTTGTCAGGCGAACCAGCCGCGTGCATGACGTCCCCACGAGGCACCCGGTCCGTTTGTCAATACTCGTCCTTGGTGCACGGACTGGACACCACGGTCGCGAGCGCAGCACGCACAGGTGAGCTACGGAAGACTGCCACCCCTGGCGGCGCAGCGCGGCTCGCAGCACGGTCCTGCGCGCCCTCATTCTGTGTGACGAGCGTTCATTGCCGCGTTCGCTCTGCAGGTTCAGTCAGGGTTGCTTGTTTGATCGAGCACTCCTCCCTGACTTGAGGCCCCACCTCATACTTTTCTGAGCACCGGGGAGCATCTGAACAAAAAGGGAGTGCTGGGCTAAACAGCGTCGAATTTTCCGAAACATCGGTGGAAAATGCCACCTTTTTGAATTGAATGAAAGAATGAGTGCTTGCAGCCGGGACAAGAAAGTATTCCGCTTGCTAAAAGACGCCAAATGTTACGCCAAATTAGGCCTACCTGCCGGCAGCACTAACGTTAATTTTTGTCAGGTGAAGCACCCGACCCCCCAGGCTTCTGCTATTCCCTGTTGGCTCATATTCCATGAGTTCAGGATGTGTCTGTTCAGCCGCCACAGTAGGCAGCTCTTGAGAACGGCTGGCTCCCGCGTGTCCAAAGAGCACACGAAGGTAGGAGGGAGGGGGATGGGCAGCGTGCGTGCTGCCCGTGTGTGCGACTGGCTTGCTGAAGTGTGCGGCGCACGAACGCATTACGCGCAAGTCTGACAAATTTTCAGGAGTTTATAGACGGCGAAATATGTATAAGGACTACCCGCAGCAACACGTGTTAATGCGGATAATATGCTGCATAGCAGAAGCCTCTGGAAGCATTGCCCACTGCGAAAAAAACACAATCGGTCGTTCGGTGCTACGGTTGAATGAGTGCCAAAGAATAAGCGGTCTTCGCGTGAAGAAGTCCTTTCGTAGCATCATCAGCCTCTCTGTACGAATAGCTGTCTCTGAGGGTGGTCGAAGCACATCATATCGCGCGGATTTATGGGTGCGGAACAAAGCCCGCGCTTCCGTTGCGCCGAAGCGAAACAACGAAACACGACAGAAACCTTGCCCAGTGCCGAAATGTTCTCGAAGAGGAATCCAGGAGCTCCACTCACAGAGAAAGATGGAGAAGAAAACCTTCAAAGATCTGTTTTAAAGCATTTTCAGCATTTAAAGCATTTTCAGCATTTAAAGCATTTCAGCATTTAAAGCATTTCTCAAAGCATTTTCAGTTATTTACTTGACATGCTGTTCCGGAACAAGAATGGACGCAGGGGTATGACTTTCTAAGGTGTGTGGGGGAAAGTTTGGCCGAATAAACTCGACCTAACCAGCCGTGAAAGCCCGAGTACTCTCCGGATTTTGGTCGCTGGTTGCGTCCTTGATGTCCAAATTGAACTTAAAAAGAAGTATTTTGTCGGTTACCTTGTTGTCGGTTACCTTGATGTTCAGGAGCTTCTTCCCTTCTGACGCCGATGTGACAGTGATAATGATGATGTAAGAATCCGTGATGCGCTTAGGACATGTACTGTGCGCACAGTTCAGACACTAGCAGCATTTCATTGGTCCAGTGTTTGTTTTTTCGCCCATATGCATTTGGGTCGGGGGTTCGGAAGAGCGTTAAAGTGAACTGAAGAGTGTTCCACAAAAAAATTAAATGCCCTTTTGAAGATCATTCGATGTACTTCACAGTCCTGCCCCTCTTCAGACCAAAGATCTTCTGGCTGCTTAGCTTAACGCTCGCGAAGATGTGCGACTAGTTCGTGCAAACTATTTCAAGGCCCCCTAGGCATGCATGACGCGGTAGTAACGCTATCCAAGTCATGCCACCCCAAACGTCAAGTGGTGTTCAAGGCCAATAAGAGTATTCTCCTCGAATCATTCAGATCTGGCGACCGTGAGCAAGATTTTCAACCCCAGTGAACGTCCAGTCAGATGTGTTGATTTCACCATAGCTGATATGATTTGCCTTAATATCTTCAAAGGCGGAACATTCCCTTAAAGCCAGTGTTGTGGGGGTTCACGCACTCCTACAACATACGGCGTGATAAATCCTTTGTGTAGGGCTTTTATTTTTAATCTCATTTTGATCCTCCCTGGTTAACAAGAAGAAAACCCTTTACACAAACATATTCATTATCAATGCAGGTGTGCAACAATTGACACAAAACTCCAGTTCAACAGAACAGACCCCTTGCTGAAATAAGGTGGAGAGTTGCATTGAAACCCCTGACTGACTGAAACACGAACCTGACCTACTGTCTCATTGTGGACCCTCATCGTAAATGATCATATCCGCTTGCATTGTGGATGTCCCCGACCAACGCAAGAGTCCCTCAGGCATTCTGGGTCCAATCTCTGTTTCTGTTCAGCAAATGCTGCCCTGGCCGACTCGGAGCAGCTCACCTGCACAGAATCCTCTGTTAGACACTTGCGGCCCCTGCCCGACGCAGAGGCCACGTTGTTTCAGCGGTTCCGACCAGTGGAAATCGCGGTTCCCAGCCTTGTCCTTGCTTGGGAAATAGGCTCCCAGGGCTCAGACCGACATGGAGTCATTTATCTGTTGTTGGTAGCATCTGACTAAAAAGAGGTCCTCATAATCCTAGGTTGTCCCCAAACGGTGTAAGAGACTCTCTGACTGACATTTCAGGGCCCGGTCCTGCGACCCGTGTCCTTAATGTGACCTGCAGCGAGCCATACGTGCCTTCCAATCAGGCACTTCATCGAAGGCCCTTTTGCCGGCCCATTCGAGCACTGCCCCAAGCCGATTCTGGGCTCCTTGCCATACATGACATTTGTTATGGCTTGTGGTCCCCAGATTGATAAAGCGGCCTTTCATTGGTTCAGAGGTCCCGACCGATATAAATCGTGGGCCCCAACCCTGTCCCTGCTTGTGAACTGGGCCCTGAATCCTAGACCTGACGCTGGAGTAATCTAGTCGCCAGTTCGTCAAGTGTTCGGTCGTAAGTCTCGACCGCAGGGGTGTAGTTTCGCAAAATAGGCCAGGGGAGGGGCTGAGCGGGGAAGCCCTAGCTTGAACTGCGCTAGGAGTAGGTTTATTCCCGATTTATCTCATCTTCCTCTCAACGTAAAGGAGCTTGATTCACATCCAACTGAGTAGCAAACTACAGCACTTATCTAAATGCGTTTGATCTGCTGCGGCGGAAGATGCTGTCGGGCATCATCAGTATTTTGTTTGGCGTCGATCGTCGAAACCATGTTTTGGTAGTGGACGCAGGGTCGCTGTTATCTGGCTTCAGACGCTTTTGGACGTGTGCGGCTGCGGGAGTGAAGAGCGCAAGCTGATGCGAGTGACTATCAAAAGCTGCCACGGAAACCTTCGGCTGGTAGCCGTGAAGCGGGCTACCGACTGTAACGCAGCACTCGCGTCAGGCCTGTTCGACGCGGCTCATGCCCTTTTGGTAGTCAATGTCAGACGACTGCCGCTGTCGGCTTAGTCGGCTGGTGTCGATTGTCAAGTTTCCATAATTGTTTCATCGAATATTCACGTCGAATTGCAGGTTGGCACATTTCAAGAGCTTTTTCGAGTGATGCCGGCTAAAAATTTGTTCACGTTTTTGACCGCCAACATTTGACTGTTTTTTTCGAATTCCAATGAGACATCGTATCGTATCATGGCAAAATAACGGAACTTGCCGCAGTTTGTGAATGTTTAAAATCCATTGAATAATGCAAAAACACTTAGTGAATAGCGCAAAGCGATATCAGACTCAGCATTACACATTGATTGTGTTATTAAAAGCATGCATCATGCAAGAAGGAAGCAGAAAATACCCAAGCAAACATGGCACGTACTCAGAGCTTGCACAGTGTGACTAAATCAGTCAGCTGCATTCAAATGAACATGACGCAGTGCGCAGTTTTCAATGCGCAGTTTTTTTCAATGCGCAGCAGCAATGCGCAGTTTTCATTGGCTTTGCCCTTTTACCTGCGGAGCAATTAGTAGAGACCTTCTTTAAAATTGATATAATTTTGATTTCCCATCTGTACTGTCCTGCTTTTGCTTTGACTCTAGGAGGTTGGAGGGCAAACTCACCATCGGGGGGCTAAATCGGACATTGGGGGAGGGGGGGGTCAGTGGCCCACCCAAAAGAATACAGATCGACACCCGGGTATATATAAAATATTTTAAGCCGTTGATAAAGCTAAAAGAAGCGCTAGTTGAAACTTACCCACGTACTCCCACTGTTACGCTGGGGAGCGTCGGAGATAGAATGCGAAGCGCTAGTTGAAACTTACCCATGTACTCCCACTGCTACGCTGGGGAGCGTCGGAGATAGAATGCGAAGCGCTGGTGCCTGGCTCAGGGCGCAGGTCTGAAAGGATGCGTTACATCAGTCACAATGTTTAGCCAGCCGGGCGACGACAATCATGGATGCGACTGTGGAAGGATGGCATTGCATATGAATGATCATGACATATTGCCAAAGAGTTTCAAATGAAAGCATGTTTGGCCGGATATTTGTGCTGGCGTCCTTAGAATCAGAGTCACCACTTGACGCTTGGCTGCTAAGACTATGATCTCATCACCCCAGAGTCCAATTGCCATCCCGATGCGTTATGCCAGCATGATCACACAGATTTGTTGTTCTTCGAAGTCGCGTGACACCCACATTGGTTAGGTTGTGACGCTCTCACATGCGGGATGCAGAAACAGTTTCAGCGCCTCAGTCAATGATACTTTGATCGCGGCAAACATGGGACGAGGTGCTGACAAAGCTGAACCAAACGCCGCTTGAAAGCTATCCATGTATTCCTACTGAAAGACTGTCCCTGGCGCACGGGTGGGCCGGAGAGCGCTAGGTTGGAGACCGTCGGGCTGGAGAACGACCGGCTGGAGAGTACCGGGCTGAGAAGCGCCAGACTTGGGCTGAGAAGCGCCAGCCTTGGGCTGAGAAGCGCCAGACTTGGGCTGAGAAGCGCCAGACTTGGGCTGAGAAGCGCCAGACCTGGGCTGAGAAGCGCCAGCCTTGGGCTGAGAAGCGCCAGACTTGGGCTGAGAAGCGCCAGACTTGGGCTGAGAAGCGCCAGACTTGGGCTGAGAAGCGCCAGACTTGGGCTGCAAAGCACTGTGCTGAAGAACGCTGGGGGCTAGAGTGACCAGTGCTATGGCCGGGCTGTGCGGTGCTGGTGCCGGGCTGTGCAACGATAGCGCCGGCCTGGCCAGCGCCTTGTGTCAGGCTAAGCAGCGCTCGCGGCTGAGCTGAGCAGCGCAGGTGCTAGGGTGCCCAGGGTTGGTGCAGGGATAAGCACCACTCGTACAGGGCGACCAGCACTTGCGCCAGGATGAACAGCACTTGCGCTAAAAAGAGTAGCGCTGGTGCTGGGCTAAACAGCGCTGGTGCCGGACTGAGCAGGGCTGGTGCCGGGCTGAGCAGCGCTGGTGCCCAGCTGAGAAGCGCTGGTGCCCAGCTGAGAAGCACTGGTGGCCGGCTGAGCAATGCCGCCGGGCTGAGAAGTGTTGGGGTCTGAAAATGATGCTAGAAAACCATCGCCTGGATCGTATCGAGCAAAATCATCTTACACGTGGATTATTGAAGCCTGTCATAAACAGCCGAGCGATGATTAAGGACTACTCCAACGCTAGCTGTCATCATAGAAACAAGGGGATATTAGGCAAACCTATGCGTACGAGGTTGATCGTTACTTGGAATCGCTAGAGGTTGTGCCCAGTCTGTCGAATTTGGACCTCAAGCGCATCAACAAAACCCGCCTCATCACGGGAACGAAGTCAGGTCAGTAGCTTCTGCAGACACGCCGTCCGGGCCATATCCTTATCCAGGCTGCTAGAATACGGAGGTCGTTGCACACACTCAATGGCAAATTCATAACCTAACTCATCACTGGGAACTGAAACATGCGAATCTCAATCATGGGAATGAATCTGCCGACTGCCTGGCCGATGATGCAGCGACTCTGGATCAAGTCATCGATACGCCGACCTGACCAGGACGTGGGAGGCATCAGGCTCAGCACTGTTCATCTGGCCTGCGCCAGGGTCGTGGTGACCCGCGCCCATAGACCGCACCTGCTGACAGCCTTACCCTGTTGGCTGTCAGCAGTGGATGAATGGAGCTGGGATATGTGGACACATGAGATTTGATCCTTCGTCTGGGCATAAGCATTAATACGCGCCCGGGTGGCCTGTTGAATGCCCTCCACTCAGGTGGAGTCCCAATTTTACACATCCCCCCCCCCCCCCCCAACTGCGAAAACTAAGGATAGTGAATTCGCAGGATGTGTTGGCCTCTATGTGAACCTACTTGCAACAAAATTTGAGGTCCCTAGATTGTGACCTTTTGGTTAAATAAGGTCAAACTAGGTTGAACTGCGAATTTGCGTCCAAATGGCCCACAGAGCTTCCCATGTAACCACCGTGAGCCTTAGCACCTGTGCTACGCAGAATTTCATTAGTGCTCATTTAAGGTCAGTGACCCTGTTTGACCTTCAGAAGGTCAAAGTGACCAAAATCATACAAGGCTGCTTTAATTTTGCATTTGAATAACATCAAGGCTTACGATAGGCTGTGTGTTCCTACAAGGAAATATTGGTCCTTGTCATTTTAGGTCATCGACCTATTCTGGCCTTAATATATCTATGGGAGATGTATGTTTCGGTCCCTGTTGTAAATATATTATAAATGAACATAAAAACTACCACCATGCAACAAGCCCGAGAGTAATACAGCAGGTTGGTTTTGACCTCGGTCTGACCATCATCCTTGACCCTTGACTTGACATGGGAGATGCATGGTTCGGTCCCTGTTGTAAATATATTATAAATGAACATAAAAACTACCACCATGCAACAAGCCCGAGAGTAATACGGCAGGTTGGTTTTGACCTTGGTCTGACCATCATCCTTGACCCTAGCCCAGTAAAATGTTTTAATTCAATTGTTGTATTGACTGTGAAACTACCCCAGAGATGTATGACTTCCTTGACTTTGACCTACTGAGCCCACTATAGGTTAGCGATCTTACAAGGTAAATTGGCTCAAAGCTCTTGGAAAAGGCAGGGACAAATCACAGAAGTCTGTTATGTGTGGACTTAGGAGGTACTTTTCGCCAATTTTCTTTGCTGCTCCCTCCCCCACATTACGCAGTTTGCAAAGCTGTATCCATGTAGGCCTACATCTACCTACAAACATGATTCTTCACTGACCTAAGAATGTTACCGCACACCAGGGATGCAGTTTCCTGCTCAGTTGAGGAGGGGCTGAAGTCCTAACACTTTGGGGAGAAAGTGGGTCAAATCTCGAGAGAAACCTGTTTGGTGGCATATTTTGTGAGTAGATCAGGCCATTTTTTACTGCTCAGCCCCCCCTCCCCCCACTCGTTTTGCGAAACTACGTCCCTGCTACACACAACGACGAGAAAATCATACCTTTGGGTTCATACATGTAGCACTTCGGTGTCAGGCCTTAAACGAGGCCTTACAGTTCCCTGCCATCTCAAAAACTAAGCAGCGAAGTGGGCAGCGATATCGGACAGTTCTCGTAAAATTGCGTGAGAAGAGCACCACCAAAGGTAAAAGCAAGGGGGCTGGTGAGGGGGTGCGTACCACCTATTTACGTTCTAACGGGCCAAACGGGACCCTGGAGCCCAACGATAAAGGGTTTGGCTTTAGACTCCGAAGGACCAAAAGGCGGGCTAGAGGTCGCATAAGGGGGCCCGGTCCGCAGGACCGCCCTCTTAAGGCGTGTTAGGGCTGCAACTTAAACCTTTCAATTGTATCCAATTATCCTGGGCAGGAAAAGCAAACCAAAGCAGCTGGAGTGACATGGGACGCTAAGCTAGATTTAGAGAACACATGACTGTCTGAAGCATACGCTGTATTGGCCCCTCAGGACAATGAGAGCAATGAATGGCCCTTAGAATAACCTAGACCATACCCGAGCCATGCTTATTCTTAGTACAAATGTAGCATAAGTTGTGAACACAACAGTTGAATAGCAATATCTTCTGCTAAGCATTTAGTCGAATTGCTACAACAATTGTTTTGCTATAAAACTATATTATGATGTGTAATTCATTTTACGATGTAAATTTAGAACAGCTTCAAATTTCTATTTCAATTGCCCCATCTTGAGACCGAGGGATCATCAGAATCCAGACAACAAAGACCACCTGCACCAAACAAGAGCCAGGCCACCGACGCTTGATGGTGGGGTCGGTAGGTTTGTCTGAAAGAAACAGTTTGCAGACCGGCCTATGCGAGTCTGCACGTCTGCGTGCAAAGCCGTGGCCCTCTCTCAAGCATGTGGCGCACCTCACATTTCGACGAGAGTCGGGATAATTGAGTTGAAACATTCGACGGTGTTCTGACATGAATTTTGATACTGGTCCAAGTCAATTCTGGTATGCTGTGTCGCGTCTAGTGGCATTCAGCGAGTCAATTGTGCATGCGTCCATGTCCAAAACAAGCACCGCTCAAAAAACAGCTGACCTTCTGACCCCGGCAGAGCCATGATCAGCCTCGTGGCCTCGCGCAGGAAGCGCGCGCAGCAACAGCGAGAGCAGGAGGAGGAGGAGGAGAGCAGCGAGACTGAGACCAGCGCCAGCGAGACTGAGACCGAGAGCGAGTCGGAAGACGAGAAGGGCGAGAAGAAGTACCACAACATATGCAAAGATATGGTAATGGTAGGCAGTGTAAATCTGATGTGCCACTGGTCACTGTTTCATAGTCATTGCGATCGGCGGAACGGAAAATTTGTTTATGATGTTGGTCACTGACAGCCTAAAGGGAATACAGTCTCTAAATTAATGCGCACCCGGGTGGCCGGCTAGAAACCCTTCGCTCGGGTGGGGTGGTCAATTTGACCCCCTGGGATCTCGGGAACTAAGAGAGCTAGAGACACCAAATTTACAGGGTGTTTTTACCTGTACGTGAACTCACTTAGGTCAAAGTTTGAGGTTCTTAAGTGATGACCTTTGGGTTAAGAAGGTCAGACAAGGTCAAATTCCAGTTTGGTCTCTAAGTGCCCCCAGAACCTACCTAACTGTTTCCAAGCAAAAAGTCACCTGTTCATTCAAGGTCAGTGACCTCGTTTGACCTGAGGAAGGATATGGTGACCCAAATCATACAAGACTTTTCTGAGTTTTGCAGTTGAACAAGCGACAAAGATTACGCTAGGCAGTATGTTTCTAAAAACAAAACGTTCATCCGGGTTATCTTAGGTCAATGACCTTTTCTGACCTCTAAGAAATCCATGGAAGATGTATAATGCGGTTCCTGCTATTAATAAATTTCAAATGAGCACCAGAACCTATCCCATACAGCAAGCCCTAAAGTAATAAAACAGATTGGTTTTGACCTTGATCTGACCTTCATACCTGACCTTAGGTCAACGTAATTCGCTCATTTAATATTTTTGTTGCCTACGAAAGCATTTCAGAGATTTTTGTCTAACACTCTGTTGTTGCATCAGACTGAAAGATTCCCTAGAAATGTATTTCGCTGAAACCAAGGCCCGACTTTAACCTGTCATAGGTCAGCGACCTCACATGGTAAATCTAATTTTTTACGTCAAACGATCCGCTGTTCAATTGCCCAGATATATGTATAACTTGGCGCGGCTGCACCGCGCCGCTCAGAAACCATCCTAGAAAATAATTTGAGGGGGTCAATTTGACCCCCCACCCGAGTGCGTGTTAAAGCAATGGATGTCACTTTGAGCGAAGTATGCATTGCACACTTGTACCGGGTATGCTCCTTCATTATATCTTATCACCGATGCTGACAAAATCGTGCACATTGATAATCTAAAATCAGTTCGCTCAAACGACGATGACATTATTATTTGGTAGTCGCACAGATGGGCTGCTCGTAACATCTTCCCTTTTATTTTCAGCCGAAGCCTGGCAACAAACCCAATAAGAAGTAAAGCATGGAGCATCCATTGCGACTGGAGAACGATAGAATGAGTGTCATGGTATAAATATATCGTAAGACAACACCGAGGCACGTATTCTATCTCTTAACAGGTATCATCGTCCTCAGGTCACAAAAGCATAGTTCGGTTTTCGCCCGAAGTTCCGCTAACGCCACAGACCTCGGGTGAGGGACCGAGTCAAACCACACGGCCTCGGCCAGGCGGCACAGGCCGGCATCGATCCCGCCCTGGTCTCCCGTAACGACGGCCCCAGGTGACGCGAGGCTTCCGAGCAGCAGCAGCCACACGAGGCCGGGCCAGCTCGGTCCCAGCGCAGAGGGGAGCTGGTCAGCCGGGGTCTTTCGCGTTTGCTCTCAAGAAAACGCCGCAGCAGGCGGCTTCTTGAGGAACACCATCTTTCTCCGGTTCTTTCCAGTCGGTGATGTCTGACGTTTGTTTGTTCGAACGCGGACTTACCACGTTTTTCGCAGTAACACGACGAATCTTCTTAACTCGGAAGCGACCGGGTCGCTCAGTGGCACACCATCGACCGGAGGGGGGAGGGGCGGATTTACCCCCCCCCCCCCTTGCTTATCTCAAGAACAGTCGGGTGAACTAAAATATTGGAATCTCAACAGATTGCAAAGAGGCGTGCGGTCTCACACCACATAACAAACATGAGTTTAAGTGTATATTGGGGTCGCAGTTCAAGGCCAGCTTATTTTAACGTTGCTTTGAAATATCTGACCGCTCCTAAAACGCATTTTATTTAGAGGCGTATCTCATGGTTCAAAATGATCGCGCCTTGATCGAGCATGCCAAGCAGGAAGATTTCCAATGTGACGCGAGCCGTACCAGGCCTAGAGTCGAGATCACATGAAAAATGAGCGGTGAAGCTCTGGTCTATATGTATATTTTGTTCCATTTTTCTCAGTGCTGTTGGAATAATTTAAATGTGAAGTGGAAGAGCTCAACAACAATTCTGGTCTTATGGTCGTCTTTTTCTGTGATTTAGTCATACTTTAGGCAGACATCCATTTGTCTTCCGTCATTTTTTTGGTGTGGCCTGTCCGGAGCCGAGAGAGTACCACCTCCATCAGGCGCGTGTGTGTGTTCCAATGCTCGAGTCGCGGTCTGATGTGGTGCACGCGTGGTGCGCGCTGTTCCCACTCACGTTGAAGGCATTGGCTGTAACTTGAATTGAATGTGTTAAGTATATCCGAACTTGGGAAAGAAAGATGATTGTGATTGGGTAAGAATGGTTATTGTTTCGTGGCGGCATCCTCTAAATCGTTTCCATGAACACCTGAGTACATACGGAATCCACGAAAGTCCACCGGTGTCCACTGAAAGCTGATGTCATAATGACGTTGAAAGGATGAAATAGTCTGCCTGATTTGCGTTATGATTGAATGAAATGTGTTGTGAATAGAGGCTATTGCTTGGTTGCATTAGCGAGAGTTTGTGCATATGACGCTTTATTGTACCTTGCATTGCAGCTCCTGTGCGAGAGTTCGCGTGGGATCCATATATGTATACATATATATATATATATATATATATATATATATATATATATATATATATATATATATATATAAAGATAAAAGATTAGATGCTAAAGCTATGTGTTAAAGCTATCTTTAGCTATGTGTGTGTGTGTGTGTATGTGTGTGTGCGTGTGCGTGTGTGTGTGTGTGTGTGTGTGTGTGTGTGTGTGTGTGTGTGTGTGTGTGTGTGTGTGTGTGTGTGTGTGTGTGTGTGTGTGTGTGTGTGTGTGTGTGTGTGTGTGGTGTGGGTGGTGGGTGTGGGTGTGGGTGTGGGTGTGGGTGTGGGTGTGGGTGTGGGTGTGGGTGTGGGTGTGGGGTGTGGGTGTGGGTGTGGGGTGTGGGTGTGTGGGTGTGGGTGTGGGTGTGGGTGTGGGTGTGGGTGTGGGTGTGGGTGTGGGTGTGGGGTGTGGGTGTGGGTGTGGGTGTGTGTGTGTGTGTGTGTGCGTGTGTGTGTGTGTGTGTGTGTGTGTGTGTGTGTGTGTGTGTATGTGTGTGTGTGTGTGTGTGTGTGTGTGTGTGCATATGCATATCAGTGTGCATACAAATACATAAACAGATATATAGAAAGATAGATGTATAGATCGATCGATAGATAGATAGATAGATAGATAGATAGATAGATAGATAGATAGATAGATAGATAGATAGAGAGAGAGAGAGAGAGAGAGAGAGAGAGATATATATATATATATATATATATATATATATATATAGATAGATAGATAGATAGATAGATAGATAGATAGATAGATAGATAGATAGATAGATAGATAGATAGATAGATAGATAGATAGATAGATAGATAGATAGATAGATAGATAGATAGATAGATAGATAGATAGATAGATAGGGTGGGGTCCAGCCAGTACGCTCGTAATGGTGTGGGGAGCGTGTCCATGTATGCTAGAGAAGGCTGCTGGCGCGAGTGCTGGACTCGTGTGCTGATTGCAATTCGTTAGTGCGTTGCGATGGTCCGTGTGTGCGAGTTTGAGAGTGAGAGAGAGAGTGAGAGTGCAAGTGAGAGAGAGAGAGAGAGAGAGAGAGAGAGAGAGAGAGAGAGAGAGAGCCGTGAGAGCTTGATATGTAAGATGGGTGGGCTGTCAGCAGCATGCGTTTAGCATCTAATCTTCTATCCTTTAGCATCTGATGATCTTCTGATCTTCTGATCTTTTAGAATCTGATGAGCTGTAGTTCGCGTCTGTACGTGAGCGGAATAGTTGGCGTCCTTTAGCAGGTTGCAGGATGGCGAGGCCTCGATGTTTTTTTATCGAAGCTGTATTTGCAGGTCGCATTTTGCTGCAACTCCCAGGCAGTCAGGTTATAAGATATCAACGTTGACGACGAATAGCCAAACTGAGCGCAAAAATGCGTGATGAATGGAGAAGACAGGTCTTTTTTGTTAAAAAAATTAAACGTTCAAGAAAGGAGAAAGAAATAAGGCCAACGAATTCAAACAGCAAGCAACGGCAACATTTGACATTTGAATGCCATATGGACAGTGGACACTGACATGCGGTTGACAGACGGAAATTTCAAACGACTGGCGGAGTGCGAGACAACCACTTATTTGTTGTTTAACCAAGTCTGTTGCAGAGGTGAAGCAGGAGGATGCCCACGCAGACGATTGCAAAATCACTCGCTAAGCGTCAGCAAAGCAAAAACTGAATTTGAGGTAGCTTCCTGTCTCAAGCAGGAGGGTCATACTGACAGTGATGTAACGATGGTAGACCTCGAGAAAAAGTGTGGCAAAGTTGGGCGACTTACAGAAGACTAAAAGAACAGCTGTGGATAGGACAGAGCTGTTGTGAACCCAATGAGTGCAAATCAGGAGAAGGAAGGTTAAGTAAGAAGACTTGCTAAGCTGCACAACTCGTTTTGTTTTCATAAAAGCCTCTCGTATCATTCTATCTGATAAGGTTAGCTCAGAATAGGTGTTATCTATTCATGAAGGCATGCCATTTTAGCCGTATACAGAACCGTGCGAGGCGTTACCCCTGGCACGTTCGTACGTAATAATGGCCACCGGTCGATGCCGCGCCTGCACTGGGCGGTGTTAATCAGTAATATATGTAATAAATCAGGATAAGAGTTCTGCTTAGATATCGACGTTTTTGGCGCTCCATTGCGCATTCGCGATGAGGCTGGAACAGGGACTCGCGATCCAACATTTACGCGGTACGGTGCATTTTTGTGTGAGCTTCTCGTGAATAGAAAGATACCACTTGTGTAGCCTGTTTGCGTATGTATGCAGGCTCTGTGCCATATTTGTGCGACTTTTTTATACGTCTGTGTGAATCTATAGCACTCCCACCATTCCTTTGTTTTCACGTCAATTGTATCAATAAGTCATTCGTCCATTCATTCATCCATTCGTTTTCCACTCGTTGAATGCGACTGCACGTTTTTTCTTCTTCTTTTTTTGGATACAAACCCCATCATATGATGAATAGTTGTGGATCATAATAAATGTGGATATAAATCTTGTAAAACAGGATAGGTACACATCAAGCTATAGTCGCTTATACGCAGGTTTGTTTTACGAATTTATTGAACGTCATTCAGTGCGCATAGCTCCATGGAGGATCCATACCATGATGGTTACGGTTGCATGGAGAGTGTCAAAACGTGTGGTCACACCCGCATTAACGGAAGTGCGTCACCGAGTCTTCAACCGCGTCCAGACCGGGGAGATCAAGCTGTCAACAGAAAAGAGCACAATGGGGTTTAGATGGCGGTAAATGTACTGTGAGAAGGTTAAACGCACTCGCCCATCAAAAAAGCTCCAGAGATTTGAATTTGAGAAGAGAGCGAGAAAGAGAGAGAGAGAGAGAGAGAGAGAGAGAGAGAGAGGAGAGAGAGAGAGAGAGAGAGAGAGAGAGAGAGAGAGAGAGAGAGAGAGAGAGAGGAGAGAGAGAGAGAGAGAGAGAGAGAGAGAGAGAGAGAGAGAGAGAGAGAGAGAGAGAGAGAGAGAGAGAGAGAGAGAGAGAGAGAGAGAGAGAGAGAGAGAAGAGAGAGAGAGAGAGGGAGAGAGAGTGAGAGAGAAAACATCAATAGTATGCTAAATATTCGTTCCGATGCAGCCATGTAACCGAAATATCAATGCATCTATCTTTGCATTCTTCTGTTTTTCTTCTGCGCGGAATAAGGCTATTAGTACTGTATTATCTACACCTTTAAAATGTGACTTAATGTGGCAACTGCGATCTTGGTGCTCCGGGGACGTTAATCGCACTGTCAAGGATCACACCGCTGTGATGAGCGTTATCATAATTGATGATCATGCTGATGACTGTTATTCAGACACACATATGACAGTCATCACCAATTATCTCTCATCACATCTACTCTTACTCATTATCATATAACAGTCGTTACTCGGGCATTGCCGGCCAACGTCACACCTGAGCAGAGAAGCAGAGGGCGACAGTCTCAAACACCCACCCTGGACGCAGGGAGGCACCGTGTCCGGCTGCCACGTGCCGCCTTGGCCGTAGCACGAGGAGACGAATACCAGCCGCCCGGTGGCGAAGCGCTGA